TATATATATAACTAAAATGCTTACAGAACTGAGATTGTAGCACCTTCTATGGTTTTGCTTTTTTCTTTTCATTTTATATAACTAGATTCAATTTCCCTTCTAAGCTATTTTTCCTCAGATTGTTAACTTGGCAATTTCCTATTTGAACTAATCATTTAAAAATTACATTTAAAGACTTTTCATATTTATTTTTCCTCTATAAATATTTAAAACATTAAAATACAATTTCAATATATATTTCCACTGGTCGTTTTAGCTTTACTTCAAAAGTTCCAAAGGCACAATTTCTTTTGGGCCAGAACAGCTGACTTTCCTGTCATAAAAGGCTAAAATGTATGCTCAATATACGCTGACTTACACTATTTTGGACGTAAGATTAATTTTCAGGATAGAAATTAATCATAAAGGATATTTACCAAAATATGGAAAAATTTTCTGGCTTCATCCATATTTCTATTGTTATTTCTGGTTTAACAAATACTGCTCTTGTAAACCTCTTTTGTTACTACCTTAATTACCTAATGGACAACATTGCCAAATGTTTCAGATTGTTTTAATTAAATTAAGTGAGTAGAGGGGCACTTCCTTTTAGCCTACACTGTCATTATTTAGCCAAAACATACACATTTAATAATGCCAGATTTCCATCATAAATCATTTCCTCCAGCTTTGCAACTGTATTTGTGTCATTCTTTGAATTTCCTTCAAAATTTTAAAATATACCTGGTATATTTTTTCCCAGAACTAAATTCAGTTTTCTGAGTATGACCTTGTCCGTAAAATAAAGAACAAGATTTTTACTCTTTCATTAATGATGCAACATCTGAGCCCTAAGTAATACCATTTTTATTTATTGTCTCAGCTCTCCCTTTTATTATTCTCTATATTGCAATTCTTATTTTCTCAGAGTTCCTCAATCTTAAGAAATTTCATAGTAACATCTCTGGAAACTCAGTCCTGTGTAGAATCTACTGTTTTTCCCACTGCTAGATTATCAAAATATACTAACCTGGCTATTACTCTGATCCTCTCCCATCCTGCTTTTTTTTTTTTTTTTTTTTTTAAGCTAGAGGAGAGAAGATGAAAAGGCGATTATGACTACAACTTACCAAGAGTTCGGAAAGGTCTTTGGTTTGGTGTATGGGAGAAGAAACCAGGTTTCAAAGCGTTTGTGATCACAATGTCAAAGAAGTCTTCAAAATCATGCCTAGAAAGCAAAGGAAATTAAATTCGCCAAGCTAATTAATTAACACTTAAGATCACATAAATGACAAAGTAACAAAACACTTTTTTAAGGCAGTTTTTGTCACTTTTTGTCCTGATATGTTTGTTCAGTGTCACTAGTGCTGTTCTTTTACTGAGGTTGTAATAAATGAAAAGATACTTGGATTGACAGCCCAATGTACTGTACCCTTGAGAATCACTCATTATTTTTAAAAATATGGTCTTTAGCCCAGGGAGTTTTTAAATCTCAGGATAAGATATAACGTGATATATTTTAATGTCGGGAGACAGCATACGAGTAAACAGATGGGGAAGTACCTGGAACAGAAAACATACTGATCAGTAAAAACACACTGGTATTGAGTGGTTTATTCTGAAGGCAAATTCTTCTCAAATTTCTGTGCTCAGGCTAGTAAGAAAGGCCTACATTAGGGGTTTTCCTTTACAGAGTAAGAATACAGGAGCTCAAAAGATTTACTTACAAAGGTAATTTCTTAGACATTTCTTCTTCTAAATCTAGATTTAGGGGCTCCATATACCCAGAAATGCTCTTATTACACCATTCAAGCCTTTATTTATTTGCAGTAGAGTGGATTCCAGTCTTCTAACCACTCATTTCTGACTGTGGTAGAGAATTGCAGATATGCAATTTTTAAATCACAAGGCAATTATCTGTAGTGGAAACGGCATCTAAGCTGAAACTTTCCCATCTCTCTTCTGTAGACCTCTGAACTAACAAGACTGTAACAACCAGGGCTAATTCTCGCAGGACCTGGCTGGAATGGTGTACTGGACCCTGTACAATCTGGTCCTGGCCCCTCAGTCTAGCACTTTCCCCCATGCCTCACTATCTCCGCTATAGCTTCTACCTTTCACCCCAGGAATAATCCAGGCCTCCTTTTTTATTCTTGTTACTAGAAACTTCTTCCAGGTGAAATTACAAAGATTAACATTTCTGGAAGTGGCTGATACAGTCCTGATGCACTTATGGACAAGCTAATCCTGACTTTCTTCCCTTTTGAGCAGAAAGCTCATAAAGGCTCCACATCCCAGCTACAGTGATGGCTTCAGCTACAGGTCTGCGATCACTCACATCCTGCAGCGAAGAGGGGACAAACTATCTCTTTTTCAGCCTGTTATCTCCTCCTTCCCTTGCTCTTGGAAGCTAATAGGAGGAAGCGCATGCTCCCTTAGTTCCTCGCCAGAGAAATTCACCTCTGATCTAAAAGTTTTATCCTGGATGTAGAAACGTCAAAATAACTGAACAGGTCATACACAGGGGAATAGTAAACCTGGTATCTGAATCTGTTATCAAAATCCCTGAAATGTTATTGCTTATTCAGTATTTATGAGCTGATTACATAACAGCATTTAAAGGGAAACAGGCCGAAGAAGAAACAAAATCAAGCAGTTCAGCCACCTAAACTAAGTATCTAAAACACAGACAACAACAGTACTTGTTTTCCTTAAGAATCTTATTTAGAGACAATAGAACAAATCTTTACCTGTTTTCTAATCTAGAAACAATATATGTATTGTAAAATTCTACTAACTTCTGGGGTAGGATCTAATGGAAGACTATGACATAAAAGCAGGTTCCTATCCGGCTGGCATCTCTATTGTATGTGTGTACAGGCCTAATGGGTGTATAATGACCCACTGTAGTCAACAGAGATCTAATTAAAACAGTCAGTGAAGTCTAAAGGGTATACCTGAAAGCTGAAGTGACGTTTTGTTAGCTGAACTCTTTCTTCAGATTCTGCGGACTGTACTCACCAAGTCCCCACTGATTACAGGGAGGTTAGACATACAGCTCACAAATAGACACCTATGAGTAGGAATCTTAATCTGCTAGCTGAATCCCACCATTAAATTCAGATATTTCAAGGTCATTAGGTTCATGAAAATACAGATTTGTATCTGAACTGTGGTAATTCTATTAATTTAAATGGGATTGAACATTTAAGCAAGGCATACGAGTGGAACTCATGTTACTTAAACTTAGGTATTTAAAAAATAGAGACATGTATGTAAGACTGCAAGTCTGTAAAGCCAGTAGGAAAAATAAGCAGCCCTGGGAGACATACATGCTACCTTTCCTAGCATGAGATGAGTTATTTCTGGAAGGGCCATTTATTCCTACTCTAGCAAGGGTCTTTACTTTGAGGAATCTATTTGACCTCACTTAATACAAAAACCTGCTGGGAAGTATAGCAAGAAATAATAACAACAATGCTTTCTTACAAATTTTAAAAGTTACTACAATTTAAAATTAGCTAAAAATTTCTTAAAGAGTGATTATTATTTATTAATGGAAAATATAAACATTCCACATATGTGAAGTGTTTTATTTTAGTAGAAATGTTTAATTGCTTGTGTGACTGTATTGCCTGTTACACCTGAAAAACAATGGATAACCTAGCACGGAACGAGGTAGTCATGCATAGCAAGTCCAGGATGGTTAAAGGCACTAAAATACTATCAACAGTTGAAAAATTTCATTTGAAGAAAACTACCTCAATGTGTCATATTCAAATAATCTATACTTTTCCATTAAACTGAGATAGCTTGACTAAACAAGTGAATGCTCTCCCTGTGAGTTTGTCTTCAATCTTTTAATTTGCTCTCTCAATTATATTCCAGCTTTAAAAATAAATGGTTTTACATTTCCTTTCTATAATGAAATTTTAACATTGCTTATTTTGCTCCACTTGTGGCTATCTGTAAAGCTCTACCTTTTTAATATAACCAACAGCAGACATTACAATGGCACATGTTTTTTAAAAAAAAATCCTCTATCTGGAAGGCTCTGTTGGCTAGAAAGTTGTTTTCTTCACTTAAAGGAAAGAATAGTGGTAGAAGTATTAATATAAAACAAAATAAACTTCAAGTGAGATCAAAATAACTGTCTAATACAGGACATGTTTATTGGATGGCAATCAAATGGCCTAAAGGCTTCCCATGAGCTTACCTTAAACAAAAGGAAACTATCCTGAGATCAAAATCACTCACTGTGCAATAAACGATCTTATTTTGCATATATCCAATTGTTATCAAAGTCACATTTCACCCTAGAGGAAATATTTGCATAGAGAGTTCACCTCTCTAAGGCATTTTCTTACAAAATGCCCATTGATCTATCCTTAAGCTGAGCAAACAGACGTGCCTCTTATATGCTTGGATGGCAGATATCAATAGAGATATGTTTTCATATTAATATATTGTGCAAACAGTGTTTCAACAGGTAAATTAAGCTTGAACTTTCAAAAAAGAGCCAACACTTTAGTAGCACAACAAAGACTCAGGGAAATAATGATCAGTACTTTGTGTACAAAAGTTAAAACAGAATGAATGTAGTCTTTCAGAAAGATTTGGTTAATGGGAACAAGAACTTTGTGCTGATTTATCATAGAAGAAACAGTTTTTTATGTGAAGAGAGATGTCACCTATAGCCTTTTTTGAGTCAAGCTCAATTTCTTGTACAATTCTCATTTTATGAGAATATATACTTGATGTTACATTACTGTGTGACATTACACATGACAAAATTGGTTCCAGTTACTGCTTGTGCTTGGCAGTTTGTGGTTACAGTAAATGGATGAGACAGAGAGTAGGATATATCTCGCATAACTTTATCCACCCGAAAGCTGCATGCTGAATCACAGTTCATGATCCACACCGCATATATAGCCCATGAGGAAACATGCAAACTCTTAGACGGCACTTCATCTCACTTATTTCAGACACTATTTTATGATGTAGAATGAATTGACAGGGATGATGCCCATCTTTTTTCTCTGCTGACCATTGAGGGAATCAAAATGATCATCTTAGACAAATTACTAGCTTTTTAACAGCTAACATTCATGAACAGGTGAAATGACACTCAATTTTAGTGACTATATGATCATAAAGTTGTCTTTAGATGTGCTCCTGCCAACACTTACCCATTCAATTAACTTGTCACACATTTTCACTGTCGGTAAGCCTGAACAGTCACACTAGGATAATGCTACCTGTGTGACTGAACTCATACCTGCTTTAATAGGTTTACAAGCCTTTATACACTGATCCCAGCAATGTGTGTGTAGTTTGGCTCAGAAATGCTTGTTATTTTAGTTAAAAACAAGATTTGCTCTGACGCTTCTCTCCTTACAAAAATGGCTCTCAATTAAGGATAACTTGGTTAGATGACAGCAACTAGGATACTTTGCTCTTTAAAGAGAAAATAATGTGTTTAGGTATGCATTTCTCATTACTGATTTTATATGGCCAGTAGTTTCTCTATCCAAAGAGGAACTTTCTCCACAAAGTGCAAAAAAGTTAATAGTTCCAAGATAAAGATATGAAGAGGCTAAAATTTCACACACATCTCTGCTCTTCATCTTTATACTTGGTTTTGTTGGATGTAACATCTGCATACTATGTACAGTTCTGAACTTTTAAATATCATGTTGATTAATTGGAAAGAAGTTGGGAAAGAAATATAATAAAGAAGTACACAGCAGTTATTCATAAGGGTTGATATCAAGAATGAAATTCAGTTAGCCCAGACAAATTAAAATTAAAGGAACAGATGATGACTATATTTCAGTAGTGCAAAAAGCAGTACAGGAATGTAGAGTCATATTAAATTATGCAGGAGATATGGAACAAACGAGAGCAATAAAAAGTTTAGAATTATTTTCAAGAAGAAAATTACTTTACAATAATGTCTAATAGATAGTGGAATACTCATTCCTCGAGATGTCTTGGAAGCCATATTGCATGAGTCACTGAAAAATATGATTGTAATAAACACTGTAGAATGTCCCATATTAATAAGGAAAGAGACAAAATAATCCACTCTCTTTTTGTCTTTTGAAAGAGAACCCTCTCTGCTACCTTTCTTACTGACTTCCAGCATGATCGCTACAGATGCCTTTAACTGTTGGAACATTATCCACAAAAGAAACCCCAAATTTTTATACAATAATTTTATACCCAGTTTCATTCATAACAGCTATACACATCTATAAAAGGAAAAAAAAAACCACAGCCATATCAGGACACTGATCAGGAGAATTGCCTTTTGCATGGAGGTAGATTTCCAACTCAAACAAGCAAGTATAAGGCAGTGAGAACTGGCACTGCTGATGCTCTGGTTCCAGGTAGTCAAGAGAGTACAAAAGGAAGGTGATACTGGCTGGATTGTTTTTGGAGGGTAGCTCCGTTTCGCACTTGACTTGTAGTTTTCTTATTGCGTTGCTGTATTCACTCTGCTGTTCCCTTACAAACCTACAGACAGCCAAGGTTAGCTCATATTGCACTACTTTGTTTCTTCAGTTCATTTAATGACTAAAGTCAGTCTCACGATGTCACTCACCTGGCTATTTGCATCAGTGATTAATTCATCTCTAGGGGTATCAGTGATGGCTCTGCTGCATTTCACTGAATTTGACCCGACCAGTCACGTTCTTAAAATTACAGTTGAAAAATAGCTGTTGTCATGAGCAGCTGCAAGTCTCAGCCAATTGCTAAGTGCAAGGAACTACCTGTTTTATCTTTTCTGCTGCAATCTGTAAATGCACATTTCTCACGCACAACCTTCTCTTAGAAGCTATGCATTAGGAAGATGTATTCATGAACTTTTTTGTGTAGATTTACTGAAAGGAAATGAACTACTACTACTTATGCTCATGAATGGAGAAGCACAGAAAGGAAGTGACCTGAATAGGATACTGCAGCAAAATCTTATGATAAAATCAGGATTCAGATAATGTCCTCAATTAGTTGTTGGACCTGTCACCTTCAGTCCCACCATGATGCTCTTAAAACATAGGATACAACTGTGCCGTGGGTCAACTGTAGTTCCCAGCTCCCAGTGGACTACTTTGTCTTGAGTACCCTGTTGCACCCTAATCAGAGGCAGTGCCACCAGAAACCTCAGATCCAAATAAGTTATGACAC